AATACGATACATTACTAACCTAACCTATGGCTTGGTTTCCTTTTTCTAATCCTTATTTTCACTTAGCCAGACTTCCAAGTATAATTTTACTTTATCTTGTACTATATTTATGTTTGGAAATGACATTAAGTTTGCAGTTAGGCTATCGAGTTACATGGGGGTTAGAAGGGTAAAGAGTATTTGAAGTTGGCATACAGGACACAGGCAAGTCCTAGCGAAGAAACAAGGAGGCCTCTTTAGATGCAGACAGTTTATTACTTAGACAGTAAAACGAGGCATGCGCATTGTGGCCTTGGTGCAGGTCACGGCAAAATAAAAGGGACTGGACAACTGCAACAGAAAGAAGGGATGTTGCAGCAGAGCCAACTCCAAGCTGCTTCTCAGCAGTTTTATAGCAGCAGCTGTGTCCTGAGATGGGCAGGCAGAAAGCCCCTGCACCTCACAGAACCCGGAAGGCAACGAGAAACTGGCTGGGGGACCGCAGGGTGTTCCGACAAGACTCAGCGCAGCTGCAGGTCACACCCTCCCCATGTGGCTCTACATGCAAAGTCGTGGGGTGCCGTGGTGGAGCTGCTCCCCCAGAGCTGAGGGCACGGATGGTGGCATGGGCTCCTGGAGGGCCTTGAGTAGCATCACGAGGGGCCTGTACTGATTCTACAGAGTGCAGAGGCTTTCCAGGAAGGCAGTGATCCAGGAACAACGGGACCTGACTTATTTTCAGAAAGCACACAATTGTACTGATAGGAAATGTGAGACACTGCAGGCAGGCGGACCAGCCACGGATGAAGAGAGGCATGACGCGTGCAGCTGGAGCAGGAAAGCAGTGTCTTGTCTAGGTGATCAAGCACTCAGACGAGGCTGCCCGAAGAAGAGCAGAGTGCAGTGGGAAGTGGGAAGACCAGCAGTTCAGCCTTGACTGTGCTAATGGCCCGTCGAATTCAATGCACCTGCGCAGATGTGTGCAGCTTGGCGGAAGTGCCCAGGCTGAGCCAGGGGTTGGGAAGTCATCAACACATAGATGCCTTTGAAACTTCTCTAACAAAGTGGTTACCCAAGGTGAAAGTTCAGAATGCCAGAGGGGTGGAATACGGAATCCTGAGAGACCTCAAAGTTTAAAGAGCAGATGCTACTTTTACAGGAGAGAACTGGGAGTCAGTGACCCATAATTAAGTGTGCCATGACCCCCACAAGGATAAGAAGTAAAGAGAAGTAATGGGATTTTGCAAGGAGAATGTTACTGGTGACATTTTTGGAAGAGGTTTCCATTAATGGTGAAAAAACCAGCTTAAAGGAAGTTGAGCAGTGAGTCATGAAGAAGCGCAAGCCAATACTTTTCAGCAGGGCTGGTGGAAATTTAAATATATCAACACCCGAAGACAGTTACAGAGTAAACATTCAAATAAATGTCTGCTAAAATACCAACACAAATGCAATTAATCATTTGAAGGATGGCTATTTCTAATGGTGGCATATCATCAACTTTTGTAAGAGCGCAAACTCAAAAGAAATGCATAATTACTTTGAAGTTGGTTTTTCACTGTCAGCTTTAGTCATTTAGCTAAATTTCTTTATTGAAAAATTATTTTTCTCTTTTTATTGAACTAATTGAGTATCTCAGAAGAATCCATTATGTTTTTTCACTCTGAATATATGATGAAGCCAAGTCATTTGGTAGAATGGATGAGAAGGCGTTGTGAGCATTTGAAATATGGCCGTAAGAATTGGCCTTTTGTGAACTTAATTATACTACTGTCTTCAGTTTCCCATGTGTTATTCCCAGGCCAGGCTGGTGATGTCTTTTTCTGAAGTCAGTAAAATGAGTTCGTTACTTTGGGCGATGAGTTAAACACAAGATTCACAAAATCCTAAGGGAAAGAGCCTCTCTCAGCCTCTGTGCACACGATAGAGAAAAATCACATCCAAAATTCAGGTGAAATTCAAAATTTCAAAATTCCTCACAAGCCCATTTGGATCCAATCATTTCTGGGGCCCAGGAAATATGGGGGCTTCTAAGTAATCTCTAGATTTTCAGCAAAAATCCCTCACCCCTCTGTTCCCCTTTCCATCAGCAGCCTCCACCACCATGGAACCACTCATAACCAAGAATCGAACCAAGGCACAGTGAAGACAGGGTCCCTCCTTTACGAATTTTCTCTTTCTTTTCTTTTCTTTCCCTTCCCTTCCCCTTCCCTCCCCTCCCCTCCGCTCCCTTCCCTTCCTCCCCCCTCCCTTCTGCTCCCCTCGAGAGTTCAAGACCAGCCTGGGCAACACGGTGAGACCCCATCTCTACAAGAATTACAAAAATGAGCTGGGCAGGGTGGCGCGTGCCTGTGGTCTCAGCTACTCGGGAGGCTGAGACGGGAGGATTGTTTGAGTCTGGGAGGCCGAGGCTGCAGGGAGCTGAGATTGCAGCACCACAGAGGGGCGCGTTTAGGCCAAGGCTGG